GGTATTAAAGAGGGCACGTTCTGCATGGAGCACTGGGTGTTATGCACAAACAATGAATCATGGAACACTACATCAAAAATTAATGATGTAATGTATGGTGATTAACATAACAATAAAAAAGGAAAGCAGCTGAATATATGAATCAAGATCCTTAACACTATTCATCATCTTTGACTCAGTAATGTCATTACTAAGGCATTCTAAGAAAAAAAATAGAAATGAGGGATTTAAAAATTATTTAAGCATGTAGGTGCTCACTACAGTGTGGTTACAATAATAAATATTTGGAAACAACACAGGTCCCATCTCCCCCCAAAAAAGAAAAAAATAGATGAAAATATTTGAATAAAATCATTAAATAGATTATTTATTTTGCAGTTATTGAAGTGGTATTTTTAGATACTGCAATAGCACATAAAAAGCTTTGGTTCTAATGGGGAGTGAGCTCAGATTTCCCCAAGGGGAAAGTGCTTCATAGGAATATCATTTGGGCTTTGAGAATGAATGAATAGAACTATTTACTTTTCTTTTCTTGAGCCAGGGAAACATAGGCAGCATTTCAAAATATAGCAAAGATATTCCTTCTATCATGTCTTGGATCTTGCCTGTCTGTTTTCAATAGCCTTTCCTATTTCTTATATTCATTTTAGCTGTCTATCAGGGCTAATTCATCCTAATTTCTTCCATGATGATTGTATGATTATTCTTGAATACAGAACCTTCCTTATCTGTAGGTCTTCTAGAACTGGATTTTCACTTACGGTATCACAATCCTCATGTGTCTCAAGTGATATGAAGGAAGTCATGGATATCCCATCACTAAGTTCAATAGAGAGGTTTGCAAATGTCTTACTTGTTTGAAAAAAGGAAATAACATACAGGGCTTGGGGCGCCTTGGTGGCTCAGTTGGTTGGGCTTCCAACTTTTGGTTTTGGCTCAGGTCATGATCTCATGTGCATGAGATCAAGTCCCATGTTAGGCTCCAAGCTGAGCATGGAGTCTGCTTGTAGATTCTCTCCCTCTGCCCCTCCCCCCACTCATACTTGTGGTGTCTCTCTCTCCAGTAACCAAATAAGTATTTTTTAAAATATATATATTTATTTATCCTAGAGACAGGGTGTGCACACAACCAGGGAGAGGGGCAGAGGGAGTGGAAGGGAATTTCAAGAAGTCTCCAACTCCCTGCTGAGTGCAGAGCCTGATGCGGGGCTCAGTCTCACCACCCTTAGATCAGACCTGAGCAGAAATTCAGAGTTGGGCGCTTAACCTACTGAGCCATCCAGGTGCCCCTAACAAATAAGTATTAAAAAAACAAAGATACAGGGCTTAACTCTGGCATTGTAGCCAGGTTCCACCCATTTAAGTCCAGCTTCACTAGCTATGTGAACTTGAGGAAGGTGTGTAACTTTTCTGGGCTTCAATGCATTCATCTATAAAATGGAGATAGTAATATCCATCTCACTTTATCATTACATTGTAAACTAAGTATGCATTAAGCTCCATAATCAAACCTCTTCCTTTTAATATTAACATGGATTCATGGTATATCTTGAGTAGGATATACCCTAAGTACTTAGAATTTTGGCTTTTACTACACAACCTTCTAAACTTGCACACTGTATAAAATCAAGAACCATGGTAACCATCTCTGGTCGTCTGAAGGCTCTGATTATTGGTTGCATTGACAGGACTTAGGTGGACTGCAAATATTGGTATACCTTCAGTTATTCCTCTGGAGTATAGAATACAAAATAGAGAAGCAAATTCCTAACCAAAGCAACATAAAAACATGACATAATGGTGTTCAGTGACAGTTTATGGGATAAGTGAAAGTCTCACATTTCCTCCTCATATGAGGAGGCTGCCAGATTGGGTAGGACTTGTCCACATACTCACCACCTCTTTCTAGAACAAGTGGTTTTGATTAATGTGTGTTTGAAAAGTAACATAACATGTACACCCAAGTCCTTGTCATCAGGTAAGGGGGAAAGAAAATTGAAATGGAATGATGATATATCAACTTTTAACAGCAACCTGCTCTGCCTAGAGACTTTGGGAATTCCCATTTTGCTATTTCTTAGAGTCCATCATACTATCCCCCTCACCTAGATTCATCTCTTATCCACAAAGACTGGACAGAAAGAAGTTAATCCTATCTGTCCTCAGCACTGTTGGTTCATATTCACTTGAGAGCACCCATAATGAAAAAATAAAACACACCCTGAAGAGCTTGAAGAGGCAAAAGACTAAGAATACTCAAGAAATTATTAGTCTTAAATAGTATGATAAATATCTTATAATTCTGAAGACTTTATTTAGTGTTATGACTATGGATGACTGCTTCAAAGAAGTATGCCCCAACACACCAAGGACACTGCCATTTCTACAAGAGTGGAGCTGCGAACTTGCTTGTTTTGTTTTACCCAAGGGTATTCTATGGCAGCTCTCATCTCTTGATTCATTCAATTTACAAACCTGATTCAAAACAACGGTCTTCACCGAACTGGGGAAGAGGGAGAAATGAGTTAGAGGGTGACAAATTCCTGAATTACATAAGTATACCAGGTGTGTTTGCCAAACCTCAGAGCCACCCAAGTACCTCTGATTTCTCCTGGTCAGGTGCCCAGAAGGGAAGAAAGAGTTTAACAATATTGCAACCTACAGTATAGGCACTGAGCAATTTCACAGCAAGGGAAATCAGAAGGTGTTATAAAACAGAATGGTATTTTTTAAGACTTTGCATGTTGAGTCTCCTGCTCATCAGCTTTCACAGCGTTCCTTTAAAAATCACCTCACCTCCATTGATTTTCAACTTCACACTTTTTTTAAAAAGCTGGAAATATTCTATTTTTAGCCTTGATGGATGGAGAAAATGAAAGGAGAGAAGTATCCATAGAGATGAACTCCTCAAATTAGTGTTAAATTACTTTAGGAGAAAGTGAACAGAATCAGCTTGAAAAATCATAGACATGTTGTCACGTGATTGGGCCAAAAATTGGGTAGCTTTGACTTAAATGTCCTTTGAGGTCCTAACTATTACATCGGTGGCTATTCTCGTTCCCACTGTGCTTCTTACAAGAGCACTGACATGACAATCTGGACAGTACTATATGCATCATGCAATGTGTCTGTGCATGTATGCATTGTTCTGGGCTGTTTAAGGATGATATTTCTGGAACTAGGTTCAACACTTATAGATTGTAAGTAATATATTTCATTATAAAGCCAAGTGGTGCTTTTCATTTCCATAGGCATCCAACAGCAGTAACTTCATCCCGTGATGACCTTTGGGCTATGTCGTCTCTGATTGGATTAGACACCTCTGTGGGCATCATTGGTCAATTGGTCTTGCAAAGCACAGAAAGGCCATAGAATGGCTGAGAAGTCTTCAGGGACGAGAGTGATGACAAGGCCCACCCTGGATCAGAGTCTGATCTCAGCTCTGCTGACATCTACCATTCATTTTCTGAATCTCTAAGTGCCATCCCAGCCACAGCAGAAACTTAAGAAGCCCTGGTGAGTTTTGCCCCAAGTGGATCTCACTGTAGTCTTCAGCAGCTCCTTGGTTTTATTCTTACATTTTTTTCTAGCAGGTCCTTCTCCTATCCCTAAGTCAATTTCACAGCTCACATTTCCGATGAAATCTCCTACAACTATAGCCATCACCTTCAATTATGTCTTTCTAAATTATATTTACAGTTCACTTCACACAGTTTGACACACAGTTCTCTAAATGGCAAACCTCTATTTTGTCATGTGTTTTTGTTTGGTGACCCCAATGAGACTATAAAATTACAGTAATCAGGGCTTGTGCTATTCATTTATTTTTACTTGTCACCCCTTACTCTTTGTGTATTCCAGCCTGCCTCACTCCCTGCTTTGTCTCTTCCCCCTTCTCCTCATTGTTGGCACTCTCCAGCCATGTGAAACCACTTAGAAATTCAGTTTGCTTTTGCTTTTCTTTTTCTGCAGCATTCCTACCAGAGATCACCTCAGGCCTTCTATATGAAGCCTCCCTAATACTGATGTGCAGTCATCAGCATTTAGCACCATATGCTGGTTCTGTTCTCTTTGATCCCATGGTAAGACTGCACTTCCTCTCCTCTTGAATCCAGGTGAGCCCTTGTGATGCTACTTGGCCAACAGAATGTGAGTGGAAGTGATGTTTGCCACTTCCAGGCAGAAACTCTCAAAAGTGAGCACATGCTTCCTTGTGCTTCTCTCTGCCATGGCAACCTTCTAGGTGATGGAGCATTTGTGAGCATCCTAGAATGAGGACAAAGTGGAAGAGGGGCCTCTGCCAATGGGAGATGAGCATGTAACACAGGCAGGACACAACCACTGGTTACTTAGGTCACTGAGATGTTATATTATTTAGTATAGCAGCACAACTGAGCCCATCTAGACAATGTACTTGACTTAGTAGCTCTCCTTTGTGGGCCTACGCACATTGTCTCACCCCTGCCTCCAACACTTATTCCGTTTCCTGTCTGTGTTCCTGGGAAGCCATAAACTCCATGAGGATATGGCTTCTATCCATCTATCTATCCCACACAGCCACCATAGGATGGGCCTATATAACAGTCTCTCAAGAATTAGTGAACAAAAATGCCCGCCCCATGTTGAATGCATCCTGAAGTTAACACTGGTATTCCTGGATGTTTGCCCATTCTGTGGGTAAATCATGACTACTCACGGTTATGGCAGGTGGCACCAGTGTAGCCCGTGTTACTACAGTTACAGTAGAAGGTAGTCCAGGACTGGGAACAGCTTCCTCCATGTTCACAGTAGTTTGGCAAACACCTAAGGGAAGATAAAGCAAAAGCAAACAAAATAAACCAACTCAGTTGAAATGAAGGGACAAAATCCAAAATGTCTAATATCTAACTGCATGAATTGGTAGTAGAAATCGGTCTGCTATATGTCTATACCTAAGTCAAACTTGAGCAACAGTAAAATAATTCTATGGCTTTACCACAAGGAGTGGGTCCATCTAGCACTACTGTGTAATGAAAGGCTCAGAGCTGATGTAGGCGATTATGTTAAGCATTTCAACGATGGGGCAAATTGCCATTGACTTAAGGTTAATTTGAAGTGGTCAGAATCTATAAGATTTTTCATTTATTATAGAACAAAATGTACAAAGATTATGATTTTACATCTTGGAAAGGTTCTACATTTTTAAAGGGAAGTGAGAAGGGGTAGATAATTGAGGTCACTGTCCTCATGATTCTCTTTTGGATGATGGCCAGGAATCTATTTTAAACGGCACATGAAATTTGAGAAGATGGTACCTGCTCATTTAATATGCAAGGAAATTCTATTATTTCAAAAAATTCCAACCCACCCTTAAAATGAGGCCTTTACTACTTATGATGAAAACGGTATGACTATTCTGAAAAATATTTTCACCACACACGTTAAAAATGCTCTGAAGCATTCATAGAATTTGACCTCGCAATCACACTTAAATGGCTTTATCTTAAGCATATATTTCAAAATATAAAAACTACGTATGCTAATTATCATCATTCACAAGGAAGTCATGATGAATCAATGTAAATATCCAACACTGGAAAATTTCTTAGGGACGTTGTAGTACATAAAATTAATGGGCTATCATAAAGGTACCACAAATGGTTAACAAAAAGGATTATAACAGACTGAGACTGGATTAAGTGAAAATTCAAAATATGAATCATGGCCACAACAAAGCAAACCAAACACATTACAAAACTGATAGGAAGGACAGCTGTCAAGCATCACTTGAAGTAATGGGAGTGAAGGCAATGTTACTTTCTTCTGGACAGAGATCACGGGCTTTAGGGTCACTTATATCTGAGCTCAAATCCCAGCTCAGCCATATGCTGCACGGTGTCTTTAGGCAATTTTCCCTACTTCTTACATAAATGATTTAAAGTCTCTACATGGCAGGCACTGTTATGACCAAAAAAATAACCTGGCAAGTGCTCAATACTTGTAATGAATAAAATTAAGAGTAAAAGCAGTGATAAATACTGCAATTCTTGAAACAATCTTTACAGGGAAAAAAATCCCATGAATTTAAAAGGGGAGAAGGTGTGAGCAATGAAGCTATGGAAGTGGTCTAATACAATAAAAGGGTTCATTGTGTAGCTTCTGAGAATGTGAGGCAAGCAAAAGTAAGATGATTTATCCTAAATGTCCTATATAGGTAGGAAACCCTCCAGCAATGATTTTTTCAAAGCCCAGAAACTAATACTGCTGCATATATTCAGACATATTCTTAGAAATTTTCCGCTCAGCACAGCAAACATGCAAATGTGCTGACAGAGCTTATGTTTGGGAAAAGCATATTGGTAACTCCATGGTATCCAGCTATGGCTTAAAGAACAGAAGGGGGTGGGGAAGGACTAGTAAATTTTCTTTGGAACATGTTCATAGAAACCAACCACTCAATACATAAAAAAAAAAAAAAACAAGGTGTGCCTTCCGTGTGATTCAGATTTTATCCTTCCTCTTGGTTCCCATGCCCAGCTCTTGGTCTTGGTAGAAAGGGAAAGAAACAGATTCGTCGCTGAGATGTACCAAAGTCCATGTCCCCCACTATTCTTGTGCTGTGGGGAGTTACAGAAACTTGAAGCATCAGGGTCCTCATATACATATTCCAAGCAAGGACCTCTGCCTCAGGGTGTGCCCTGATAGAGAACCTATGGGGCTAGCCCCTGAAAACCCATTCACCCTACACCTTTTTTCCCTTACGTCGCCGCACCTCCATGCTTCTGAATTATGCTGCTCCCGCAATGCATTTTCTTGATAGATTTTCCCTCCGGAACTGTCAAGTTCTTACACTCCTGTCTTTACCCCTATCCAACTCCATCCCACTCCCCTTCCCCCAACACCAAACACACACAAACACACACACACAAACACACACACAAACTCACAAGCACTCCACGATTGGCAAATTATGCTATCATTTGCTCCCCTTCCTTCCCCAACATAAACTTAATTGCTTTAAAGATGGAAAACTGAGGGGCACCTGGGTAGTGCAGTCAGTTGAGAACCCAGCTCTTGGTTTCTATGTTCAGGTCCTGATCTCAGGGTCCTGAGATCAAGCCTAGTGTAGGGCCCCGCACTCAGTGGGGAGTCTGCTGAAAACTTTCTCTCTCCCCTGCCCCTCCTCCCTGCACTCTTTCTCTCTCAAATAAATAAATAAATAAATCTTAAAAAAATATATAGTTGGAAAGTTGAACAAAGCCACGTCGGTAGGCCCTTAATCCTATAGTTCTCTTGGTTTTGGTACCAAGAAGGTTCAGGTTGGACTCTTTTAATGGCTGAAGCTCTAAAATAGAAAACTCAGAAGTTCTCAGGGGCCACATTTTCAGCGACAAGAAGAAAGCTTGCATGCAATGAAAGAGAAAGAAAGAAAGAGAGAGAGAGAATGTTGGGGTGCAGAATGCAGCAGAAAAGACAGATGGGCGTCCTGACAGGACTTGTGTGGCTGGTTCCTGTTGTTCCAAGATTTGGTTGCACCCCGGAACTTCCTGAGGGCTGGAGTGGTTTTAATCTGTATCACATGCTGTGAGATAACCTGAGATCTTTCTAGAAAAAACCCCATTCCATTCAGGCTGGTTCAAGCCAGGATTCTGTGATTTTCAACTAACAGAATCTTAACCTTCCGTAAAACAGCATTCTATAAATAAAAAAATAAATGAAAACACACGTTTTCTCCTCTATTGTACACTTTAAAATATTTTAAAACTCAAGATTTCCAAATTCAGTTGGACATGTTGTAGGAGGAGCCTTGGGGAAAACAGTAAGAAATATCTGGGCACTTTGAACACATTCTTAATAAGCCTCACATAGACTTCGTATTGCAGTGTTAATAAACTCAATTTACCAAGGAGAGTGTAAGATAGAAATTCATTGCTTATGGTCACTTTAAAAAAATGATATATTTCTGAGAGAGAAAAAGAGTGCTTCAGTAAAGGAAAGTCTAATATTCCTAAAATGAGAAGAAAAAAAGAAATGAATGGGTGCTTCTAGCTTGATTCATTTTGGTTCAATACATATTATGATTAGAAAAACTCATCTGTAAAGCTGACACACAAAATAAAAGATGCATAACCCCAATGTGCTTATTTAATAAGGGCAGTTTTATGAGTATAATTTCCATATTCTTTAATCAGCTTCTGTAAACTGGTGCTTTGTTTCTTTTTCTCCCTACTTGGCATAAACTGAGCATTGCAGGCATGACTCAGAAAGAGAAGAGTGGAGGGGCTACCAAAGTAAGAAAAGTCCATTAAGAGTGAGAACTCTGTCACGATCTTAGGCGGAAGGCCCTCAATTCAAATTGTTAGGACATAAGCACCCTGAATTCCTATCTCCTAAAATTCTAATGCTATTTCACATGCAGCTGGATCTGGATGGATGTGCTTTCTCTAGGTGCGCACTGCTTAACAAAGAAAGCCTTCAGCATGATCAGGACACTTTCCTTCACCTTGATTATTGTCACCTTTACCAGATATTACAAAATACAATGACCTTTAACCAGCCTTGTCACTTTCCTAATGATGTTTAACCAAAAATTGTTCTCATGGCTAATCTTCTACAAAATACATCCACCAAGAGTCAACCTAGGTTTGCCTTCTCGAAGGCTTTCCTCTTACCAAAATCTTGAAATGAAATTTTGACATGTGCTCACAATTGTATCTGAGATGTTGCTTTAATGTTTTATTTCCCCTGTTTAATAAATGAAGAAAGTAAGATAAGACGAGGGTAAATAACTTGCCCAATTATGAAGTGACAGAGCCAGGAACATGAGCTATGCTACCTGTCACTGAAGCCTGTATTCCCAAGCACCGTACATACTCTACCAAACGCCAGATGATTCACCTCCTTAAATTGAACTCTCGGCATGCATTAAGGTGCAACTTCTGCAAAGAGTGGGACAGAGGGGGGCTTCACATAGTTATCCACTTATTCCAGAAACTCATTAGCAAACTTGGAGCTGTGAGGTTAGAGCTTTTAAAGATATTTTTGGTAGCTAAAGAGGTATTAATGATAGTGACAAATGGGTTAATTGGCAATAAATAAAACTGAACTAGAGAATAAAGGATATATTTATTATATAATTAGCATAATGACATACAATTCATCCTACAAATTCTATAAATTCAGTGATGAAGAGTGGGGAAAAGAGATTTTGATTCTATTTTCAATCCCTTTCCATGACCAAATTGTTGAATTCTTAAAACAATAAGAAAAGCTACTGCTAAGACAGCCCGTGTCCCTGCTCTACTCTTGCTTTGATTTCTTTTGTCTTTTAATCTTTTTTTTTTCAAATGACAGAGACTTCCTCTACATTTCTTAAGCTTATATGAGTTAATGTGATTGTTTCCAGTCTGCCTGCTTTCGGTAGAAAGAACATATAAGTTATCTCAAGCTAGACAAAGCTATTTAACTGATCCAAAAATTGATGGCATAATATTTAAAATAAACTTCATAATTGTATAATCCTACAAATAGAGAAAAATGAAGAAGCCCATCAAGGTCTATTAAGCAAAATGGAAAATAAATTCAGGATCCAAAGTTGACCTTTGAATGCAGGGCTATGGGCTTCATGGCCCACCCACCAGGATGTCCTGGAGCCCTTGACCGTGCACCCATACGTACACAGCACTCATCAACAAGGATCAAGCTCATATCTCCATCACTTAGCATAGTCAGTGTCCTCTTTAGACATGAAATTTTTAATCCTCCAAATTTCTGAAATCAGTATCAAAAGTTTATGATAATCAAAACCTTAGTATTAATGTTTG